AGAAAATACCCAACGAAACTATGTTGTGTATATATATATATATATATATATATACACATACATACTTATAAGCTTACCTTGGATCGTTGTGCAAGGGGTTAATATTTAAATCGGGGAGAGCTGTAGACGTGGACATGCAATTTTAGCACGCGATGTTGCATAGATATCTCTGCGGAGAGGGCGGAAAAATTCAAATAACACAGAGGGGAAGGTTCTTGTTACTCTCGCAGAGTAATATGATTCTTCGACCAGAGGGAGAGCCCTACGTGTAATGTTTAGATAAGTACAGGTTCACGGGCTTCCAGGATTCTGTTTGTCTTCCTCCCCTTCCTTTTTTTGCTCGTTAACGAGGCTGGAACCGTGCAGCCAAGTTTCTGCATTCTCTATGACATTCACCAGTTTTATTACCTCCAAGATCACTCGGCGAATTCTTTCCTTTGATTTCTGTCGATTGAATAAAATATTATATAACGAGAACGGTGAGACAGTTGGCCCAACGTGTGTTTATGTGGCTCGCAACAGGAACTCTTTTCAATTGATTGCTCTCCCGATTGCTTGGACGACGTCGACAGGAGTTAATCTAGCTTTCAGCAGCTAGAAATAGTATCGATCCTCGCGTTAATCCTGTCTCTTTAGGGGTTCATTCGAACGGACAATGGGCAACGATTAATTCTTCTTTTTCGTCTACTGATCAGAATTTTACAAACAGAAAATTACTCACGACCGACCAATTAGCCAATTTGGTCTTCTTTTACATCCAGTGAAAGAAGAATAAATCCTCGGGCGTGTTGATGTGCAAATAAATAGAAAGCAGATATTTTTTTTAAGAAAAATTACACAAACATTCTTTTCAGTTTAATTCAATTACTTTGTCAAAAGTGAAAGCTGAATTTTTTTTTTAATAATTTTAAATAATTATTTCAATAATTTAATTCAATCACTTTTTCAAAAGTGAAAGCTGAATTTTTTTTTTTTTTTTTAGATAATTTATTTTGAATATTTAATTCAATAATTTAATTCAATTACTTTTTCAAAAGTGAAAGG